TCTTTATGGTAGCCCACAAAGTAATCAGGTATCTAAACATACGGGCAGCAAAACACACAAGTTAGAAAGCAAAAGAGCACAGATCAAACTGTTGCAGAAAGAAAGACAACCATTAACCTTTACACATCCAAGGCAGCTGAGCCTGGTGCAGTTCACTGAGCAGATGGCAGGAGGGAAACTTCACACCCAGCCTAATGGGATTCTCATGTTCCTCAATGCACAGCGGAAAGTGCTGCACACAGGGCGCTCCACTGCACACACGCACACACAATTCAGCTCAACAATAAATGGGATGCTACTGTGCACACATACTGTAGGACGGTGAAGCTAGGAACATACAGGAGCAGTGAAGGATACAGGGCAAAATGGGCCACACAGATAAATCACACCTTGGTCCACAAATGGAACTACTCCCAGTGTGCCATATGCCAGTGAACAGGGTGAACACAGGACAGGGTGAACACATGACAAGGTGCAGGTAATACACAAATACACACCAACACAGGCTTGTATTAGCACTGAAAGCTACCCAGCCACAGCAGCACATCCTTCCAGCACAGGTGTATTTCTGCTGTCTAAAGTTGAGCTCATATGCAAAGCACAGAGCGACCCTAGTGCTCTGGCCCTACCTGTGCCAGGATATCCTTTCCAGGGAGCTGCTCAGCCCACAAGACCTGGTATTGAGCTGCCTGGCTTTGAGGCATTGTACAAGGTTTGTCCTTGTACGCTTCCTCAGATGACACAAATCTGGAGTTCATGGCTGAGAGTGCTATGAACATGAGATTTATGAATACCTAAGGTATACTGAGTAGTAGAACATGCCTCTTTGTGGGCACTGTTTTATGATGGCTCTAATACAATATCTATTATCCTCTCTGGCATACTATGGTAGCAAAATTTCAGAGTATCCACTAGGGAGATGTATATAGTTATCATGAAGAAGTTCCATATTAATAGTCCTGAAGAGGCAAATTTTTTTCACACCATGCTACAGCACAGGAGCTCTTGGCAAATGCCTTTACCTCAGCCCTTTTCTTCACATGTATTCCAGTCTACATTTCAGTTATGCGCGTCTGTATAAGTTGACTATCAGCAATAGGACACTGGGAATCATCAAAATGCTTACAAAATACTAAACAAAGCAAAATACTTATCCTGAAAGAGCCAAGCATACTCTATTCCAAGGAGATCTTCATGGGATCCTGCAACATTGTCTTGTGGAAAATGAGTCGTGTCTGAATAACAGAAAGCCCTGTGAACCAATAACCCATGTATTCAGAGACAGGTCAGGCTATGATGTCATTTTCCTGTCCTATTTGTGTAGCACAAGAAACACAGGCATCAGAAAAATGAACTGCGATGTGCAAAGCAATGTGGAGATAGGTAAGTTGCTCTCTGAACAACAGCTGGGCTCCAATTAATTGTTCAGTGCAGCCTGATAACTAAGAGCAGCACCAGAATCTAAGTATGACACACCTCTACCTATCCAGAAATGATCCCCAAGACCAAAAAAAATAATTAAAAAAATATTTGGCTCTCCTGTCCAACTGAAAGCATTCAGTCAGCAACTTCTAGAACTGTTACTCATCTAACATCTGCTTATTCTTACAGTTACCGTCATGGCTCAGAGGGAAGCTGGAATGCTGCTGAAACCTAGTGTTATGCCCTGTGAAAAGGTTATGACAAATAGCTAAATGGTACTAAACATCAAGCAGCAAAAACCCCCACAGAAACCTGGGCTGTGTAAGACAGAAATGATTCCATAACTTAGTGCTATTACGCAGTCTGCCTCATACCATCCCCTAAGAAGCTGAATGGCACCAAGGAAAAGACAACACTGCTCTGGCTATTGTGCTGGAGATAATGGACAATGGTCCTGCAGGACAGCAGCACTACTAGTCTATAGGTTGCATGGCAGAAGGGACCATTGTGACCATGCAGCTTTTCTTCCTGTGCAACTAAAGAGCCGCACGACTTTTATGAATGAGTTATTGTTTGACCTAGTATCTGCCTGTTTGGCAGGCAGATCATCCTGAATGAGTAACAGGCAGTGACAGAAGATCCAATAGAGTCTTTAGGTAAATTTGTCTCACTCTTAAATTTCACAGAGTTTTTCTGGTTTTGCATTTGTCCAGTTTCAATACCAAACACATTGCTGCTCTTACACCTTGCCTTCCAGAGCTGGTTTCCTCCCCATATAACTATTACATTTGGTAAGTAAGTTACCAGTCAGTTTTTATCTTGCAAAGTAAGACTGAGTGAGGTCTCTGTCTCCAGCACTACAACTACATAACACTGTTCAAACTTTTCAGTTTATCAATTGTCCTTCCGGAAAAGCAGATGTCAGAAACCTGGGTTTCTGGCTGAACTACATTCACTGTTACATAAAGAATCACAGGTGTTTGCTGATCAAAGCATACCTCAGGTATACTTGGTGATATTGGGACCAACAGATTAAGTCTGACTACTACCAGAAGTACTAACAACTCAAGGAAGTATGAACACAATTTAGTTCTGCAACAGAACCTGCTCCCTCATATGGGAACATATGAAGATCTCTTGCGTTCTCCAAAGCTTTCCACAGAGCCTCTCTCATGTAGTGAGCCAAAATCTGTGACTTCACAGCTTTTTTTTTTTGAATATCCATATCTTCCTCTGGGGAACACTTCAGCAATGAGTAATCAGATTGCAGGCAGGATTTCTGCCAGGCTGTGTGAGCTCATCGTTTCTGCAGCAGTGTTAGCAGCAACAATGACAGACAAGCTGTGATCACAGAGATTGGGGCATTAGCAGCTTTGAAACTAATCTGCTCCCCTCTAAAGCCTGAGCTCAGCCTAGTACAGAAAAGTCACAGCAGAAAGAGGAAAAGCAAAAGATCTAACAAGTATGATGGAATGACAGGGAATCCAGCAGAAGTGCCCTCTCTATTACACAGTTCGAAATAGAAGGACACATTAAAATGAAGGACAACTTTGTTTATACAGATAAACAGGCACTAATATATACAGTAGTCAAAGTAAGTCAGAAGTACAGTCTAAGCATCTCTCAGAGAAAACAGCTGAGATGCTTTCCTCTTGTTTACCTGCTCTGATGACAGGTCTATCAACATCTTCCTCTCCCAGTTTGACTGCTCTATCATAAATGCACAAACACTGAGTGCATCTACTTGCACCCAGTGACACTAATTTGACTAATTGCCACCCAGTACTATCCACTAGTTACAGTCATTCCCCAGGGCCTGGACCAGACATTATCGCATTTCCATTGCCAGAAACCAATTGCTCCAGGCAAACATCTGCAAGCAGCCGTCCTGGCACATGGCACAGCCCCTTCAACACCTGAGAGGATGCCAAGAAAACTGGTGGTCTACAAGCAAGGTCTTAGGATTCCCACTGAATTCCTAGCATGGCCATGACACGCCAAAAAATGCATCCAAAATGAAAGCCCCACAATGCAGTACGGCATGAGCTCTGAAGAAAAGGACAAACTCCATTCTCCTCTGAAAGGACATGTGGTCATGTGCTTTCATTGCTTGTTGCTGACAGACAGCCAAAGTGCTCCTGTAGGTCACAGCAAAATAAACTCTTCCAAGAGCATTTCATTATCCTTGTGGTAAAAAAGTTACACTATTAAGATTCAAAGAAAAACCAGGAATTCAGAAGTCTCCACCCAGCTTTGTCATAGCTTCACATAGGACTGTGGGAAATAACTTCATCCCGAACAGCAGGCTATACTTTGCTTTAAAACTATTTTTGTTCTACTCAAAGCACTTCGATTTGCTGAAGTCTACTGCATTTACTTATGAAGGCAGCATTATGCTATTTTCTGTGTTTTGAACTGCAACATCTCACAGGCTAGGGCTTTTCCATTTAATAACCTCCATTTCTTCTACAGGATAGACGTGGGAGCAAGGCTGAGCTGATTTTAGTAGCAGATGCGCAGGCTCCACATCACAACGGACAGTGTCTGCATCCGGCTGAAGGGGACACAACACACTTGCAGCTTAGAGAAGTGTGATTTTTCGAAGTAGAAGGCTGCTGTGGCATGAAATCTGATGAACTGAAGTTCTGTCACGTTACATTTTATGTCCGTGGAGTCATAACGTCTACTGAGCACTGTTAACTGCAGAAAGCAACCACTGTGTTTTCAAACCATTAGCAGAGTCTTGGCTCACAGATCTGGATGCGCTGGCAGGTCTATGTTGAATTAGTTTGATACAAAAAGAGCTATTGGAACCCATGTTTCACATTTCTCAAAATACACAGTGTAGTTGCCTGCACTTCTTCTTACTTGAACATATGCTCCTTTACCAGCAGCATCCTCCTTTCTTTTCTGCTCCAGAGTAGGAATTATTTTGGGATTTTCTATTTAAACCGTGCAGACAAAGATAAGAAGATTGCTTGTTACCATCCCTCACACACACACCACCGTCCCTTTCCAACAAGAGGAGAGTTACTTCCCTCCCATTCTGCTTGAAACTCTTCAATATCCAGAGTTTCCAAAGCAGAATTGTCAGTGGGTCCTGGGATGTCTCAGCCTGTTGCTGTCCAAGCTCCTCCCTGCCACATGCTGTGATGAGCAGCCTCAGGAACCTGAGGCAACCTGGTGTAACACGGGGGAGAACTTCTAAGGGGGCTGGTTATCTGAACAAAGAGAACTTAAATAACAGGTTCTATGTCTAGGCGCTTCCCCCTGTTTTTAGTGTGTTTCCACACAGAACGAGAGCTTTCTGTGGGCCATTTTAGAAGTGTAAGTGGAACTTTTGCTTCCACCATGAGGTTTGGGGCTCATAGCTTAAGATCTGCTCGCTGCATACGTCTATTTACCTCACATCTGAGACCAGTCTTCCTGGATGGTAACACACAGTGGAAAATGCAGAAACATAAGTACACATTTGATACAGCATGTTCTTATTTACAGAAGAAAAGGAAAAAATGGGGAAATAAGAGTGAAGTGAAAAAACCCACATTTATTCAATTCTATTGACTCTTGTGTCTTACCTTCCTATGGGTCCCAGATCCCCTGAGTCCTGGCTGCCTGCGTCACTGGGTGTGCTCACTGATTTCGAAGAGGGAGACATAGAGGTTGGGACTAAATAATGAAAATAACAGGTATCCCATGTTAACACATGCAGCGACTGCACTGATGAAGAGCAGTGTCAGACAAATCAAAACCAATGGACCAAAATGATAGTGGATGAATGAGTAGGAGAGTTTGAAATGGTGAAAGCAAATAAGGAAGGAAAGAAAAAGAAAAGGAAGAGAGTCAAGTGAATTTTAAGTCTCCTGGAAGTGTTAAAACTGACATGTATTTAGACAGGACTGAAATCCCAATGGAAATCTACAGCTAATCAATGGAGAAGATTTCTGTGGAAATAAAACACCACTTGTTTTCTTGGGTCTGGTTTGAAGCTGACTTGCAAAAGATTTTAAAGGTGTGAAGAAATATCAGGGGCTTGTCTTGTCAAAAAACTAAGTGAACTCTTCTGGTAAAGTCAAGTAGGTAACAGAACAAGCATACGTTTCAAATTCTGAATTTAAATAAAAAGCCAGTGATCACTACATATGCTCTAAGGCTGCAGTGTGGAAATGACATAAAAAATAAAAGCTAAATAAGGAAATCCAGCTAAGTTAAAATCATTTCCCAAAGATGTGAGAATACATATTAGTTTGCTTAGTGATTGTGTTATGTAAGGTAGGTCATATAAATTTCCATTTTGGGTGGGACATGATTTCAACACTCAAGGAAAAGTTTCCCTTGGTTTAGACACTATTTGCCCAAGCTCTTGAAATGATTCTCTCTTTGGCTTGCCAGGGCTTTCAAAGCATATTTCATGCAAAGGCAGTTTTGTTTCCTGAAACAGGAAAGGAAGTTCACAGCTCGAGGTCAGCCCAAGTTAAAGCTCTTCAGCAAGGAAATAATAAATAAAAGAGTAAAAATATCCTGATTTCTTTTAAAATGGTTTCTCAAAAATATTAAAAATGCAGAGATGGTTTCGGTCAACACTTAGTGCAAGTATTCCTCAAAGCAGCCACACTGAATAAACACAAAAAGGGATTTTAATGCAAAAGCAAAGTTTCCCATTTGGTTTAAATCATGTGCATTTCCTTTTATAGATTTAATGGAGCAAAGCTTTAAACTACTTTGTTATGCTTTATAATGTATAATGACAGACCTGTCAAGAGATTTGGATTTTCCAAGTGGTCAAACATTTAATGTAGATTCTCACTAGAGACTGTCATAGAAACGACTGCAGCATGAAAAGGGAATTCATCTTCATTACAGCCCTTTGGCAGGTTCCAGGTATGTCTAGTTGTTTACGTATTCCATATTCGCAGTGAGACCTGGTATCACATGTGAAGGCAGAATTAAAGCCTCCTTTGTATATTAATTGTGAGAGTATATACAGGAAATGAAAGAGAGCAAAATACTATTTTTAACTAAAAGGAATGTGAATTCTCATGTTCTTTTGTCAGTATTAAACACAAAATAATTAACTAAGATAAGAATTGATAATTTGCAACATCAATATATGTGTTTAGTTCATAAAATAAGGACATATATACTCATTCTTAGATAAAAATGAGTATTTTAAACACTAGACATTAAAAATGTATCTGATTTTATAATATTATGATATAATTCAAGAAAACATATTTTATTATACATAAAATTAACCTAACCATTACTTGATACTAAATGTATTTTTAAATTGAGGACTTCGGGTTCTAGAAATGAAACATCAAAACCAGAAAAGAACTTGAGCACATGAAACCAGAGCTAAAATCTACAATAGTGTTTTGTTGATAAGCATTTTGCTATTTGTGGGGGGTTTTTTTATTTCCCTTCTCCACTTCTGCTTGATTTTAAAAGAAAATCAGTGAAATTCCAACATGACTATGCTCCTCCTTCCTTATAAATGATTAATCTGAATTTTTGAAACAAAACTTGGGACTAATGAAGTACAGTATTTATCATAATATTTTTGGGTCATCAGATAGATGTGAGAGAAGATAAAACAATCCATCAGAAAAGAAATCACTGCTGGTATGCAAAACCAACCTGCATTATGTTCACAAAAATTTCTTGAAGAAATGAAACAGATGTTTTTGGCAATGACAAGTACTCATAATGCCATGAGCTTGTATATGTGGATGGTATGGCAGGCATTCAAACAGAAGAGTTCACTTCACTAATACAGCCAAAAATCAAAAAAGCCAAGCATGCTTTAGGAGAAAGAATGCATTCATTGTGGCAGAGCTGAATGCTTTACAGTGTTCTTCTCTTAAATACCTAGAGGTGGTTCTGGAGATATACCAATGCTCTGTAACAAAGCTTCTGTCTCTCTTCTTTTACGGTCTAGGTCAGAATCTTCCTGAGCTGGCTCCTTCTTTTGCTGTAGGTCAGCCTGAATTAAAACAGAAGAAAACAGAAAAGTTCATGTCACATTTAATCAGCTCTAGCAACTATATGAGCAGAAAATATTCAACATCTAACAGGAGCAAAGGAAAGAACTAACATCTCTAAACTAGGACTTTGGCAGCCTTTGGCACCAGTAGCCAAAACTAAAGGTCCACAAGACCCCTCCCTCTCTGCTTAGATATCTATACCTCCTTGGATCTTCCACACATTAGCCTTCTCCCTCTCTGGCATCTAAAACCAGGAGGAGTATCTGTATTAGCCAGAATTGCACAAAAAGATTTTCCTTTCTGCTGCCAGCAGAGTGTGGAGCAAAGGGGACTTGCATAGTGCCTCAGATTGGTGTTGATGTCGGTGCAAGCACAACAAAAAACCTTGAAGAATCCCATGTTCTCCAGTTTGGACATGGCCAGAAAGCACATTGCTTTTACAAAGTTCAGGCATATTCCTGCGCTCAGCTCTTCACATGAACTGTCTCATAGCATGCAGGGCTGCAGACAACTCTCCTGCACTAGTGTGCATGGCTAAGCACCTCAGTGAGTGTCAGCCATCACTCCTGGATGCCATCTGGCATCACAGTGCAGCCCATTTACGGCTCCACAATTACACACTGCAGCATTATCTGTAGAGCTGGGTGTCCTGAGACAAGCTGGATCTGGCCATCGGGGACAATGGAAAGTTCCAACCACCACAAGATCTCCATGAGGCATAAAATCAGAGTCAGGGGACAAAGGAAAGGACTTAATAGCTTCCTCGAGCCGTTACCTTGGCTTCCTTCCCTCTAATTCTTTAGTAATGAACACTGAAAACATTACCATTTAAAGTTCTGCTTATCAACAACACCCACAGTGACTCCAGGAGCCTCACTGGGGCGTGTGCTGGTAACTGCACAAATGTGGCTCATATGAAAAAAGATTAAAAAGACAGCCAAAACTGGAACTCTGATTTCTTGGATCACATCACATTTCCACGATAATTCCATGAAATTCATGTACAATATTAAAGTGTCAGTTTAAAAGGAAACCAGTTATTAGTAAAGGATAACAGGTGCTTTAAACTATAGTAAGTGTTGACATTTGAAGGAAAGGAAGCATAATCACTTAATGCTTCTCTGACTTTGCATGAAAATTAATATCCACTCCCTGTCAATTCTCACCTCTATTCCACTAAGTGACTGAACAAAAAGAAGTACAAATCCCTTAATGAAAAACCTAATGCATATTGTCAAGGACAAATAAACTAATATGTCAATCAAACTTTAACAGAACTGAAAGATGCAACCATGCCAGAAGATGAAAATGCAATTGCAATTATGTTTTACTTTACTGGAGAATAATAATTGTAAATCTGTTACCTTAGCTAGTAATCAAACTAGTCTTCAGAGTACAAAAATACATATTTAGATTGTAATGGCTTGAAAAAATGTGAGGCCTCTTTCTGTCTTTCCCCACTCTCCACTCCCTTTCCATTGAAGGAGAGCCCAGGAAAAAGCATTGTGGCAAATCAATTTTTCTTTCTACACACACATACACATCATGTTGTCTAAACTGTTGTCATTTGACAGTGCCATGGTTTTAAAAGCAATTCCCTTACCCCAACATTCTTGACTAAAAATAAGCATTTTGATTTTAAGGTTAGTCTGATGTGGGTTTAAGGATCTCATTCCACATGACAGATACCTTGGGCTATGCAATACTTAGATGTCAAAACCCCAACAAGCCCCTTCTTCAAGCATGAGCTATTTAAAGGTGTTTTTGCAAATTTACCTCTTTCTTCTTTCGTTCTTCCTCCTTCCGTTTCTTTTCTTCTCTTATCTGAGCCAAACGTTGCTTTTTGCGCTCAAGTTCTGCTTTTAAATCACTTTTGTCTGACATTTTGACTCTGCTGGAAACAAAAGTTTGGAAATAAAGGTGAAAACAGAATTAAACAGTTTCCCTATTTACTGGGAAAAAAAGATAATTATATTAAAAATGGCACTTCTAAAATTACTACAAATATATTTCTGTATAAACTCTGATGCTTGGACTATACTGACATTGTAGAAAGTGGAATATTTTCTTCACAATTTTTATTTCAAGAAATTAGACCAGAATATCACCAAATGTGGAATATATTTTCAAATTACCTTTATTAGAAAACTACCTCTGTGAAACAAATCCATTGCTGTTCAAAATAAGGCTTTAATGCTTCTATACACTGAAGCTAAAGTATTTTGATTTTCATCATCTTCAGAAGCTCTGCCAGACTGTAGAACTCAGATCCACAAATAGATTTCAGTCTTAAGTTTGAGAACAAGATCTGCCCCAAACAGCCCAATGCATCTTAGGCAAGTAATAATTTTACTTGCAAAAAGTGGAAATGTGATAGCTTTTGGTTCTGCAGGTGCCTTGCATGGCTGCCATGCAGGATTTCCCATTCCACCGGTATGGTCCCAGATAGACCATCAGTTCAGTTGCAGAATCCTTCACACATTCACCCCTCCAATGAGCACTCTCACCAAGCTATGGCCTATCCTGCATAAGAATCTCCTCTGCCCTGTCCAAGGAAAGCTGGGCCACTCCCCCAAGAAGCTGCAGACAAGGCACAAAACCAGGCAACCCAGCAGACCCGAGTGTCTCATTGTTCTGCCAACAGTCTCATGTTCATCTTTCCAAGAGGCAGGAGACATGCCTAATACTCCTGATTTGACTGCAACCACACGAACTGGGCAAAAACATTTCTTCTGAGCTACTGAAAGGCCTCCTCCACCATTTAAAACCATTTCTCTGTAGGATGTTGATGTGAAGCCACACATACTCTGTGTTGTTAATCTCTGTCAGCCTATGCTGCTGTACATGAGCCTTGAAGATGAAGGGTAAGGAGATAAAAAGTTACACTATGCAGATAAAAAGCCAGATCTTTGAAGAAGATATGATACCAGTCTTTTTCCAAAGTTTTAAAACCCCACCAGTGTTGCACAAATCCACAACTTAAGTCACAGATAACATTCTCATTTTCTAACATCATAATCACTATGAACTGTAATCTAACTGCATCAATACAGTCTTTCTTATTAGAACTTTATTTCAAAGACAGGTTTGGCTAACACAGGCTTTCATGAAAAGAGTTAACTGCGCCTTTCCTATTCACACGACTGACCACATCCACTGCTGCAACTCAAAATCAATCAGATCAATGGCACTGCCATGTATACGCAATGGAGGTCTATTGTTCACTTGATCCATGGGAAATTTAAAAGGCAACTCCCTGTTAATATAATGAGAACACCTACCCACATATGCCTGGTAGGTGGATGACCATATAGAGTAAAACTATATGCTAAAAATTACATGATGTTTTCATCCATAATGAATTTCTCTGCAGTCATCAGCTTCCTCCTCAAAATGATAAAAGTATAGTTAGTCCTATATAGAAGATATTGCCAACACAATATCACCTGCATGTTAAGTGCAATCTTGACCCCAAATGTTTCCTTGTCTTTGCAAGTACTTTCCTTTAATGAAAGAACAGAATAACATTTGGAATCAAACGAGGAAACAATTCAGAGAAAAGGCATAAGAGCACTATGAGTGATACCAGAGGGGTGAGCACAGCTGTATCTGTGTGTGAACCATTCCATGGATGCTAACATTTCCCAGTCAAACTCCCACCAACAGGAGTTAAACCAGTCTAGTTCAAACTCCAGCTCACACTGTCACAGATTCTGTACTTCAGCAGAGTTGCCCATGCTGGCAAGGCACCCTGCAGTCCTTTCAAGGCTCAGAGACTCTTGGTTCAATCCACAGCAACTGACAGCAAATGGTACAGTTAGGAAAGACATTCAGATGCCAACAAACAGGACCACTGGGTGCACTGGCTGCATGTGGAAGACAATAATTTCTTTATTCCTCCATCACTCTTGTCCTATTCACAATAGTATTGATTTCAACTTGAAAAAATCAAAACTCTCAGAAAAAAGCTGCATTTGATATCAAGAGAATTAAGCAGTAGCACCTTAAACAACAATAATCTGTGTGATCAGTTGACGTCAGTGAGCTATTTTTTACATGAGAAATGCCTAGAGAATAAAACAAGCTTTTTAATGGCAGTGCAGGTAGCATTTTGCCTACCAATCTGTTCAGGATTTCTGTGTCTCCCTTAGATATGGTTGAAATCCCATTTGAAGTAATTTTCCTAATCTGTTGCACACATTTGAATTCTGGTTAAGCTCCTCCTCAGAGCCCTTTGGACTAGATAGAGTTTTTGCATCCTTTTAGTTCTGCAGTTTGGCAACAGAGAGAGAGCTCCTGTTTCTACGCAAAAAATATGCAAATGTGTTTTAAGGCTCCTGACAGAAACCCTGAGGGTTTGGCATCCCTTTCAAGCTGTTTGTCAGATATCAATGAACAGCATTCTAAAAATTCATTCCCTTAATGTCAGGGAAGCTAACTAGCTTTTCCCCTGATTTAAGCATCAATGGTTTAGTGCCTGGCCCTTTCTTTACAATGTTCCAGTCAGGGTGATCAAATCCTATTATATCTTTGCTCTATTTTTAACAAAACAGATCTTGCATACACCAAAGACGATGTATTAAATTTCCTTCAAAGAATGTTGCCAGAGTTTAGTTATATACTTTCATCCTGCATATATTATAGTCATGCCTTAGCCCCCCAGACAGCATACCGAACTTCAAACTGGCTGTTTACAATTTTAGCACAAACTGAACACCACGAGTATGTAACCATCTTTCTCAGATGCCAGCAAGTCAGTAGCAAGCAAAAAGGCAAGCGTACTTGTCACTCTGCTTGGCATTAACCTTGAGTTAACACTGTATTCATTACCGGGAGCAAATTTCTAATAATTGCCATTCTGTGTGCCAAAAGGCACGCCACACCAAGAGAGATGAAGGCAAACAGTAAACAAGATTTACTTTTAATGTTCTCTGTGGTGCAGAATGACAGCCCAAGGCTTATGCATGACCTAATCTCCAGCCTGGGAGAGAGAAGGTACTGGTCAGAGAGAAACACTAAGGAGCACGTTTTGTAGTGAAGTGATTAAATCCCCTTTGTGGGAGAAGGAACATATAGGAACAAAGAGATTGACCCTTGCATTAAGTGTAGAAGTAATTCTCATAGAGGGGCAACAGGGCTCCCCTATTCAAGGGAGATGCATAATCTTAGATCAATTTTTATTTGTTTGACCCAGTTTATTGTCAAGTGACACAGTTATAAAAGGGGAGACTCCTCCCACTTCAGAAGAACTTTCCACCATGCTAACACAGGTTCTTGTGATATGACAGGACCTTGCACAGAGAGCACCCACCTGCACTCCTAATACACTGAGAGAATTCTCCTTCCTTTGAGAAACTGAGGAAAGGAGCCAGCTCCTCATGGCATGACTTTTATGAAACATCTTGTTCTATTTCAAGATGTCAGTTTTCCCCATATGCATTAAATATGCCCGAGAGTCCCCTCTTAGGCTTGGAGATACAGCTATTTCCACTTACACACCCAACACTTATGCACCAGATCCACCATGATGGCAGCTACCCAGGAATGTGCAAAAGCAGTGCCAGCTTCTGGGGACTGTTTTCTGGGACTTCATCATCTACTGGGCTTAGCTCACAAAATCTAGATGCCCAAAATGTTCATGCAGAGCTGTCCCTACCATCAATACAGGTAAAATCAAGAGTCTGGGTATCCTAGGATGTGATTCCAATTGTCCTAAAGCAGATGTTTAAAGGAGTTAAGATTAAGCATGCCCCAAAGTCACCAGTTTCTCTCTAATGATGATAAAGGTCCCTGGGAGATCTACATTAAGTTCTAGAAATCTCCACCGTAAATGTCTCAGATTGGGTGAGAAGAATCCTGTCCTTAATATTCTCCCAGCAGTTCCTTTTAGCTTGTCAGTATATGAAACAAGATATTTGAAAGACCATTTACATGGTCTGTAGACCATGTACAGAACATATGCCAAACTACTCCCTAAGCTTATCACACAGGTAGTAACATCTCATGGCCATTTCATTAGCGACAGCAGTAATAATATAAGCATGGACGATGCAAACAGCAGCATTTTATCCTCAACTGCTCTAAAAGCCATGCAAGTACAGGTACAAGCCAATCAAGTTATTACAGTTTTATGATAAACTACAAGGTCTTTATCAATGATCACTATCACAATATTTGAGTGGACACTTTTTCGAAGCATTTATATGAGCACTTTGCAGCAGAACAGTCACAGGCATTAAGAGATTTACTAGAATTTCAGCACCAATAAATAGATACTTCCTAGAGTAATAAAACCAGAATTACAGGTACAAAGAGCAGCAAGACACGTACATAGGTTGGACCAAATATAGGAAAAAATAAGCCCAGAATGCCCAATGTATAATGAATAAAAAAAGAAGACAAGAAAATTATGACAGTGCACACTTTTTAAATAGAAAAAGAAAAGAACATATCTCCCTCCTCATCAAGCCCATTCTTTATATTTCCTAGAACAGCATCTTGTCTGCATGCTATCACCAAGCTCATCTAAAAAGAAACCTAAGTTTCCAAATCCGGTAGGAGATAAAAAAAGCCTACAGATTTTATGGCTTTTTGGTGTTTGGGGGATTTTTACATCTGTTCATTCAGTAGGCTGCACTAGAGTAGAAGTTTTCACCACTTCATGAGCCTCAAAGTCTCTTCTGTTTTGTGACTTCCCGTGTTGTCCTTTTCGTTATAATCTCCACTGCAAGTACCGAAGGGGTTCATTAAATTCTGTTACATATGGCATTAGTCATCCTATATAACTAATTATAATTGAATCATTAATATACTTCTCTAAAATAAATAGGCAGCATCTAATGTTTGTAGATGCTGTATATATATTATTCATATGCCTTAATAAAGAGCCAGTTA